TGGCCTCATAAGGCAAGTGAACTAAGAGATGCTCCATCGAATCAAAAAACGCTGGAGGAAATATCCTTTCTAAGTTGCAAAGAATAATTGGAATATCTCTCTCTAGTTTTTCCATGTGCGATGCTTTTAACACTGTCGAGCAAATATCATGGAGGAAATTGCTTAATTCTGTAATGGCGCCCCATACAAAGTTCGGTAAAACTTCCTTCAAAGCTATTATAATTAGTCTTTCCATCAGGATGTGACAATCATGACTCTTCAAACCTGTCAACTTGCATTCCTTCAAATCAACACATCTCCCGAGGTTCGAAGCATATCCATCAGGAAACCGCACAGATTTCAACCATTGACAAACAACTCGCCTCTGCTCCTTATCCAATGTATAAACTACTTTCGGTTTTGGTCCCCTGCTGCTTGCATCCACAACTAGTATTGGCCGATCGCAAATATCTCTCATATCTTTTCTTGCGTTCAAGTTGTCTTTTGTTTTTCCGGCGACATCCATCACAGTATTTATGACATTGTCGAAAACATTCTTTTCTATGTGCATGACGTCAAGATTATGATGAATAAGATGGGCCTTCCAATATGGTAGATCCCAAAATATACTGCGTTTTGTCCACTTATGTGTACTTCCGTACGTAAAAGTCGTGCCGTGCGAATTTTCAACAACAGTTGGAAAGTCCTGCACACGCTCCCAAATTTGATTGCCAGTCAACCTCAATGGTGGACGCGTTCTTTCAGTCTTATTCTTGCTGAACTCTTTCTTATTCCTTCTGAAAGGATGACTTGGAGGTAAAAATTGTCTGTGACAGTCAAAATAGCTAGGCTTCTTTTCATATTTTAATCTAAATGACTTTGTCCTCTCCAAACATATCGGACATCCTAAGATCCCAGCTGTACTCCATCCAGATAACATTCCGTAAGCTGGAAAGTCATTTATCATCCAAAGAAGGGCAGCCTTCATAACAAATGTTTGATCGGTAGAAACGTCATACGTAGGGACACCTTCAACCCATAGCCGTTGTAACTCCTCAATCAATGGTTGCATATAAACATCTATCAACTTTTTCGGATTTTGCGACCCTGTCACGATCAATGTCAAAAACATATAAGGTGTCTTCATGCACATATCAGGTGGAAGATTGTACGGCGTTAAGATAACCGGCCAGCATGAATAACTTTTTCCTGTTCTCCCAAATGGATCAAATCCATCGGCACGAGACCTAACCCGATGTTCCGAGGCTCCATTGCAAACTCGGGTATGTTCTATCAAAATGTTGCCATGCCTCTGCATCTGAAGGATAACACATTAGACCCTCTTCTGTTTCATGATTTGCATGCCAAGTCATGTCTTCAGCAGTGGCTTTAGACGCATAAAGCCTTTGCAATCTGGGGATTAAGGGCAGATAAAACATTTGCTTGCATGGTTTACGCTTCTAATTACGACCCGGCCTCCTGTTAATCTTGTACCTAGGTTGGCTACAGAATTTGCAAGATTCTGCATTTTCATCATCTCTCCAATATATCATACAACCCCTACTACATACATCAATCCTTACAACCGGAAGACCTAAGTTATCCACTAGCTTTTTCATATCATAAAAATCACTTGGCATGTTGTTATCACGAGGCAATGATTTCCGCATTACTTCAACAAAAGAGTTGAAGCAATCCGCAGACACATTATGCTCTGCCTTGATATTTAATAGTCGGGCTGTCACCGATAACTGAGTGTGGTTCTCACAACCTGCCCATAGAGGTTCATCTGCTGCTTTCAAGACATCCCAGAACTGATTAGATTGAAAAGTTTCATTATACACATTCTCCTCAAAACCCGTTACTCCTATATCTTCCAATTGTGAAGTATGACTAGTACCCACTTGTTCACGTGTAGGAGTAAAACTAGTACTTGCATGATTTGATTCTGTGACAAAATTATAACCAGCTGCATCAATCACCATCCTCTCGTATGGGTTCAATTGCTCATAATAGCCACATTCTTCCCTAACTGAAAATTGGTCACTTCTTCCATATCCTTCATCATATATAAATGGTTCACCATGAGAAGTCAAATTATAATAGTTCGGAGTAAACTCAAATCTAATAAGGTGTTCTCTAACTTGATCACACACAAGAAATTTACCATTACCGCACTTTTTACACGGACACCTTAACTTAATTCTATCCATAAACTCATATTTACTACTAGCAAAGTCTAAAAATAGTTCCAACCCAGTACGAAACTCATCTATCAATCCTTGACGTCCAAGTAAGTTCTTATTATACATCCAAGCCTTTTCTCTTTGCATTGTGTCTGTATTAAAATAAAAAATTCTGGTAAAATATTTAAAATATCATATCTATTGTTCTTAATTAAAACCATAAAATTTTGGAAATTATAATTTTTGTTATTCACGCAACAATTAATATGAAATTGCAAAAATAGAAAAAATTACAATGTAAAGAAGACTTACCCAAATATTTGACTGAAATATTTGTAAGAGAAAGTGATCAATTTGATGAGAATTGCAACGTCCATTTGGATTGCGAGACCTTCAATTAGGCACATATCCAAAAAAGAATAATCACTTAAGAATCATTTTTTAATAATTTTTAATGTGCGATGGAAACGGAATGTAATTTGCGACGGAAAATAGTATCCGTCGCAAATTTTGCGACGGAATTTTCATTTATTTGTCGGAAATTTGCGACGGAATCAGGTATCCGTCGCAAATTTGCGACGGATTGCGACGGAACGTAGTATCCGTCACAAATTTGCGACGGAATAGAGTATCCGTCACAAAATTGCGACGGATACTATGTTCCGTCGCAAATTTGCGACGGAATAGAGTATCCGTCACAAAATTGCGACGGATACTATGTTCCGTCGCAAATTTGCGACGGATACTTAACTACGTCGCAAATTTTGCGATGGAATTTCCATTTATTCGTCGCAAATTTGCGATGGCACATAGTATCCGTCACAAATTTGCAACAGAATTTTCATTTACTCGTCGCAAATTTGCGACGGAAACTATTTCCGTCGCAAAACGGCGTGGCCGTTCCGCCTCATCCAAAGGTCGGCGAGGTGTCGCCGGTCGCCGGTCGTTAAACCGGTGATGCAGATACAAAAAAAAAAACAAACATAAACATATATTAAAAAAAAGAAATTACAATGCAACGACGAATAGTCACGAAGCTAGCTATGACACTTACCGGTACAAAAGCTTCACCGAGATTAATATGTGCGTGCGCGGATTTTGCTGATTTCAGACATATGAAAGAGGGAGAAAAACGAGAGAGAGTGAGAGAGAGAGAGAGAGAGAGAGAGAGAGAGAGAGAGAGAGAGAGAGAGATAGGGTTGGAATGTGAGAGAGAGCGAGAGAGAGATAGGGTTGGAATATCACGGGCTGATAAACTACGAATTTGCGACGGACTTACAATGCCGTCGCAAATTTGCGACGGAATTTGCGACGGTTTTATTTTCCGTCGGAAATTTGCGACGAACGTTTTTCCGTCGCAAATTTGCGACGGAATTTGCGACGGATTGTATTTTCCGTCGCAAATTTGCGACGGAATTTGCCACGGATTACATTTTCCGTCGCAAATTTCCCACGGAAAATAAAACCATCGCAAATTCCGTCGCAAATTTGCGACGGAAAATGTAATCCGTCGTAAATTCCGTCGCAAATTTCGTGTTTTTTTGTAGTGCACGAGTGCTTTGCCGGAGTCTCAAATACTTGGAATCATCTTCCGTGCATGCGGAGCCCACAGAGGATCGACAAGCGGTCTCGTCAAATTCATTAGTAGCTAAATCCGTCGGACACTTAAGTGGAAAAATGTGGCTCAATAGATGTACAGTATTCTGTGACTCTTGTATAAGAAATGTATGTATGGCCTCAAGAGTTTGACCATATATGAAGATTGTCGACAGTAATTATCATTACTTCTCGACTTTCATAATCAATAATCATTCATGCATGTGTACCTGTAATGTAGCGCATCGAGTTTCGGTAGATGTTTCTAATATATAATACAACGTTACTCAAAGTTTTGAGGATGACTGCATTGATATAGCCTTCTGATAGATTTTTAAGAAAAAGTACCGAAAAAGTCCTAAACATGTATTTATACCAATTCAGTCATAAACCTTTCAATTTAGTTTTAAGCCTTTTCATGTTTTGTCAATTGAGTCCATTCAGCCAATGTTAGCTGAAAATCGATGATGTGGACGCTAGTATTGCCATGTGGGATGGTCGACGACAATGTAGATAATTTTTATATTTCTTTTCTTTTCTTTTCTTTTCTCTTTTCTTTTTTTTTCTTTCTTTTCCTTTTTTCTATACCAAGTCCGACAAGGCCACTAAGCAAGGGTCACGAAGACCTCGCCAGGTCTAGGCGAGGGCCGCGACCCTTGCTCGTGGCCAACGAGTGTTGGTTGGTGACCCACGTTAGGTTAGGAAGAAAAAAAAGGAAAAGAAAGAAAAAATAAGAAAATAATAAAAATAATAATAATAAATTCAGAATTTTTTTAAAAATTATAAAAAAATCTGTCCACGTTGGTATCAGTCTTGCCATGTAGGATGGCAAACATCCATGTCAGCAATTTTCGACCTAAATTGACTAGATGAACTTAATTGACAAAACATAAAAAGGTTAAGGACTAAAATTTTCAAATTTATGGCTGAATTGATACTAATGCAATAGATTTATGACTTTTTTTTTGTAGTTTTCCCTTGAATTTTAGATGACTATTGAATCGATTCAGATTAGATTATTTATAATCAGTTGTTTTGAATGAAATTGAAGGGTTTTGAAAACTTAAAACAAAAGGGCAGATGGATGACTAAGGAACTCTGATTTGGCAGTATAATCCAACAATTAAGTGTTGGCCACACATTGAATGAGTTGAAATTGAAAAGGGCTCGAGAGTCCGATCTCTTCTTCCTCATTAAGACAGTTTCTGTCTCTTTCAAATTCTACTTTTCGCAATATGGCGTCCCCTATAAAGAAAATCCATCTTGCAACCTTACCGTTTGTGGGGAATGTAAACCTGTCATCCCTCCATTAATCACCTTTCCAAATTCGATTCGATTCAACCCCCCAATCCATCCACCCTCTCTCTATTTATGATCCCCCCATCATCACTAATCTCTGCAGCTAATCCCTCACAGTTTCACACACATTTCAAGTCCCACCAACCTATCTCTCTCTGTCATGGGTGTCTTTGGAGGAGCAATATTCGTGGTCATTTCTCTGCTTGTGATTGACCAAGTGGTTGCAACGTTGGGACATGCTAAGGGAAAGAGGGAAGAAACTGTCGACACCGGTTCCTGCGAAGGCATCGCAGGAACGTGGGTCTATGACAGTTCATACCCTTTCTATGACCCATCCCAGTGTCCCTTCCTAGAGAACCAGTTCACCTGCCTCGCGAATGGCAGGCTCGACAAAGGTTTCCTCAAGTACAGATGGAAGCCAGCCGGCGACTGCGACTTGCCGAGGTACGTTCCCTCACTATCTCTCTCCTGGTGCGTGCTCGACAACACTCCGCTTCAGCCCGACTTGGCTACGACCATGTGAACGTTGGTGATGCGTTTGGTTTCATTGTTCTTGTCTGGAGTCAACGATGATCCTGGTTTTGGAGGTGCACAATGGAGATGCTGTTGCAGGGATTGGAACTTCTTCATAACTTAAAAGCAGCCTACTTATTTTCCGGTATTGTCATGAGGAATAGACAGCACAGGTTTCGCATCTATCTTCCTATATCAAGTGCTATCGATATATAAAACCTTAGTCTTCATTAGTACTAAACTTGATGTTAAATGGTACATAGGTAACCACACCCTCCAAAGCCACTATCTTAGTATCTCCTAAGCTATCGGCCACATTCTTCAAACCCTCACCCCGAACAAGATTTCCATTTCTGATCTCCGATTCAAAATTCATGGCGATCGAGTCCATCTGGTTAAAGTTTCATGTAAGATGCAACACAAATCGAAAGGAACATCTCCACAAGACGACACATACGCGCTTAATTAGCAATGGATTGGGAACCATTTGATTGTGATACACGTCTCGCATCACATGAAATCTCAAAGTCACCCGACGTTGTTGCTTCCAAACAAAATTGGTCCTACAAGTCTCGTGGTCTTTTCCTTGGACACTCTAAGAAGGCAGTCATCATCACGGGAAGTATTCCATGCGTGCACGAGAATAATACGACGAAAAGAAGCCAAAACGACCCATATTGAATCGACCAATCATTTTGTCTATTTTCTTACCCTCTTGCACGTAAAGAAACAAATTCAAATCATTGGGTGCACTTCTTTACATATAGGATATGTAGTTGTGAAGTTGCTTTCATATTGTCCTTTTGCAATATTTTTTTGAAAGTGCACCTCTTCTCTTGTTGTCTCTGACTAACGAACTTCCGATATACGGAGGTAAGCTTTAGATTCTTCTAAAGTTTAGTGTTGGATAAATGTGGAACGAAAAAGGAGGCGAAATGAAATTAAAGTGAAAAAGAAAAGTAAAGGGGTTGGATAAGGAATATGGTATTGGGTCGCAAAGGAAAAGAGAAATACTAATCTATTCTCGATGAATCAATTAGAGAGCGCAGTAGGTTTCCGATTTATGTGCTTATAACGTATCACCGTTCCCCATTAATGAAGATTGCTTGGTCTAGGTTCGACGGCCGAGACTTCTTGTCGAGATTGAAAGGGAAGAGGCTAATGTTTGTGGGGGACTCGTTGAGCTTGAATCAATGGCAATCCCTCACTTGCATGGTGCACACTGCAGTGCCTGAGGCCAAGTACACTTCGACAACAGTTGCTGGGCTTTCCAACTTCTCATTTCCGGCGAGACCTCTTAACTTACTCTTTGCTCTTTACTCTTTTACTCAAAAAGTCAAAATTAAAGTGATGAGATCGATGACTCATCAACTGTGTTACATTTGCAGGAATACGGAGTGGAGCTGATGTTCTTTCGAGACGCGTTCCTAGTGGACATTGTGAGCACCAGCACCGGGCGAGCTCTCAGGCTCGACTCTCTCCAGAGCGCCAAGATTTGGGAGGGCGCTGATGTGTTGGTATTCAACTCGTGGCACTGGTGGCTTCACGTCGGAAGGAAACAACCGTAAGTGTCCGTCTCAGCAAACATTGCATAGACTTAGATTCCTTATCAAGTCAATCGCATTTCAAGAATCTGCATCACCCATATTGGATCTCACTAGAGAGCACGAGTTCTCTTGTAGTTTCTGCACCATATTTACTTCTGTCTAGAGGTAATCAAGGCATGGGCCCAACCCAGGTCGGGCCTCATTTTGGTGCCCATGCCATAAAGTAAGAATAATATATGTATGAACTTTTCGGGCAGGACTTTACAACTAAATCACCTTACTCAAGCCCACCCAAAAGTGCCCTTCAGGCCGGTGGACATCCAAGCCCAAGATCAGTAGCTATGTGGCGCATCACCAATAGACCATCTTTCCCGTTGCAATCATTGTATTACCAAGGAGAAACTTTCCGGAAGATCGATATTGGTTAAGACATTTGACCAATTTAACTTTATAAAGAGTCCGAAGTTCGTTCTTCTCGTCACTAATTCTTAGTTTCAGAGCCACCCCTAGGAACCACAGAATCTGCGTAGCTCTACAAATTAACATGACTATTTTCACTTTATAAGGAGTTTGCAAAATTGATATATTGCTTCTTCTTCTCATGTTTTTGGAGGTTCTCACGTATATTTTTTTTGAGTTAATTCAGATGGGATTATATCCAAGAAGGGAATAAGACATATAAAGACATGGATCGCTTGGTGGCCTATGAGAAAGCATTGAACACTTGGGCCAAATGGGTGGACTCCAGTGTCGACCCATCAAAAACTACGGTCTTCTATCAAGGAGTTTCCCCGGACCATGCAAAGTAAGAAAATTTTATGATGCAAATTCATTCAATATAAGTATTTTATTGTTTTCATTTTATAGTTTATTAAATTCTTTCCAAAATTTTTGTTTGCTATTCGGCTAATCTAACTCGTGATTTATCAATCATATTCAAATCAAGCAGTGCAAGCGATTGGGGTCAAGCGAAGGCCAATGCCTGTATCAACGAGACGCGTCCACTCGCCGTGTCAAAATATCCGGCCGGCCCGAACCCGGCAGAACTAGTGGCGGAGAAAGTGATAAGGTCGATGACGTACCCGGTCCGTCTACTCAACATCACCTATCTCTCCCAGCTCCGAGTAGATGGACATCCATCGGTGTATGGCTCTGGAGGGCACAAGGGCTCGGATTGCAGCCATTGGTGTCTTCCTGGAGTTCCTGATACCTGGAATTTGTTCCTTTATCAGTCTCTAGCAGCTCCCAACTTTTGAATCCGAACATCGCTAGAATAGGCGAATAATTCAAATTTATATTTTTATTCCATCATTGCGACAACATGTTGCGTCAACTTGATTAAACTAGCTTAAGCAAATGAACCATGCGCGAATAATAAACCATAATAGGGTTCTATTTTTCTGTTCAATAGAAGTTGTTGATGCAATACATCCTAGCGAAAAAGCCATTGACTGCTATAATACCCATAGAAATTTCTTTTGAAAATGAAAAATTTACAGATTTCAACAATTGACATGCGTCACTCGTGATGGCTCGCCATAATATCATGTAATTGGTCGACATTCCGAATATAACATCCTCATGAGGCACAATTACATCATCCACTGTACAATCTCAGTCATTGTCCAAGTCCAAATCCCTTAATGCCTCCTTGTCCTATATTTTGCACGATCAGTTCGAGTCTCTGAGGGGCCAAGAGGCAAGGGAACTGAAGTGAACAAATGAAGCTCTATGTTCCAATGGTTCACACCCAAAGCTGAGTGCCCCAATTGAGGAAAGACGGGTCACCAATCAACGATCTATGGCAGCGGCCGCGATCTCAACAACATGGGCTAGATAGCCACAAGTGCTTTGCTGGAGTCCTGAGTATTTCGAATCATCTCCTGTGCATGCGGAGCCTATGGAGGAAAGACGAGCAATGTCATTAAATTCGTTAGTAGCTACCATCGGATGCTTAAATGGAAAAATGTGGCTCCACAGATGTACATTCCATGACCTCTATATAATTATCATTACTTCTCGACTTTCATATCCAATAATCATTAAGACGCGTGTACTTGTAATGTTGCCAGCATCAAGATTCAGTAGATGTTTCTTATATGTAATAAAACATTACTCAAAGTTTCGAGGCTAAACAAATTGATATATAGCCCTATGGTGGATTTTTGAGATTTCTATTGAATCGATTCATATTAGATTATTTAAAATCAATGGTTTTGAATGAAACTGAGGGGTTTGGAAAACTACAAAAGGGCAGATGGATGACCAACAAACTCTAATTTGGCAGTATAATCCAACAATTAAGTGTTGGCCCCACATTGAATGAGTTGACATTGAAAGGGGCTTGAGAATCCATTCTCTTCTTCCTCATAAAACCACAGCTTATGTCTCTGTCAACTTCTACTTCCGCAATATGTCGTCCAATATAGAAGTGAAATCCAATAAGATCCATTTTGCAACCTTCCTAATTGTGATGATTGTAAACCTCTCGTAACTCCATTAATCACCTTTCCAAATTCTATTCTATTCGATTCGATTCAACCCCCAAAACATTCACCCTCTCTCTATATAATCTCCCCCCATTAACACTAATCTCTGTTGCTAATCCCTGACAGTTTCACACACATTTCAAGTCCCAACCAACCCATCTCTCTCTCTCTCTCTCTCTCTCTCTCGCTCTCTCTCTCTCTCTCTCTCTCTCTCTCTCTCTCTCTCTCTCTCTCTCATGGGTGTCTTTGGAGGTGCAATATTCGTGGTCATTTTTCTACTTGTGAGTGACCAAGTGGTTACAGCGCTAGGACGTACTAAGGGAAAGAGAGAAGATACTGTCAAGACCGGTTCCGCCTTCGCGGGAAAGTGGGTCTATGACAGTTCATACCCTCTCTATAACTCATCGCAGTGTCCTTTCCTAGAGAAGCAGTTCAACTGCCTCGAGAATGACAGGCTCGACAAAGGTTACCTCAAGTACCGATGGAAGCCCGTCGGTGACTGCGACTTGCCAAGGTACGTTTTCTTTCTATCTCTCTCTGCGCGCGCTCCGCAACACTCTGCTTCAGACCCAACTTGGCTAAGACCAGGTGAATGTTGGTGATGTCTTTGGTTTCGTTGTTCTTGTCTGGAGTCGATGATGATCCTGGTTTTGGAGGTGCATAATGGAGATGCTGTTGCAGGGATTGGAACTTCTTCACAACTTGAAAGTAACCTACGTATATTCCAGTATTGTCATGAGGAATAGATAGCATAGGTTTTGCATCCATGTTCTTCTATCAAGCGCTACCGATATAAAAAGACCTTAGCCAAGCTGATGTCAAATGGTACGTTGATAACCGCACTCTCCAAAGCCACTATCTTATTATCTTCTAAGCTATAAGCCACATTCTTCAAACCCTCACCCGGAATAAGATTTCCATTTCTGATCCTCGATTCAAAATTCATAGCGATCGAGTCCATCTGATTTGAAGTTTCATGTAAGATGCAATACAAATCGAAAGGAACATCTCCATGAGACTACATATACGCGCATAATTAGCCATCGGTAAGCCATAGTCTTTGGAAAGAGATTGAGGTAGCTATGGATTGCTACCTATTTGATTGTGATATACATTTCGCATCACATGAAGTCTCGAAGTCACTTAATGTTGTCGCTTCCAAATAAGCATGGTCCTATAAATCTTGTGCTCATTTCCTAAATAGTTCTTGGACATTTTTAGAAGGGAAAATGACATAAATGATTCCTGAACTTAGGCCAAATATGCAATGTATCCTTAAAGTTTATGTTTTTAATGTGGTCATTTAACTTTAACTAAATGTGCAATATCGTCCATGAACTTTTAATTTGCTCAACATGGTCTCTGGACTTTAGTACTGTTCAATTTGATCCATGGATTATAAGAAAATGTTCATTATTGTTCTTCTATTAATTCAAGTTCAAAGACAACGTTGAACATTTTCATATAGTCCAAGCACTAATTTGAGCATGTACCAAAAGTTTAAGAGTCATATTGAACAAATTAAAAATTTAGAAACGACATTATACATTGGACTAAAGTAGTTCAAGGATCGCATTGCACATTAGACTAAAGTTCAGAGATTATTTGCGTCATTTTCCCTCTTTAGAAGGAACTTGTCATCATGGGAAGTATTCTATGCGTGCAAAAGATTAATACGAAGAAAAGAAAGCCAAAACGGCCAATATTGAATCCACCAATCATTGAGTGTCTTTCTTTCCCTCTTGCGGTTAAAGAAACAAATTCAAATCATAGGTTGCAATTCTTTACATATGGGAAATGTAATTGTGAAGTTGCTTTCATCTTGTCCTTAAGCAATATTTTTTTTGAAAGTGCATCTTTTCTCTTATGATCTTTAATCATACAAATTTTCGATATACAAAATTAAGCGTCTTGATTCTTAAAAGGTTTAGTGTTGGATCAATGTAGAACAAAAAAGGAGACTAAATGAAATTAAAGTAAAAAAGAAAAGTAAAGGGTTTGGATATGGAGTCCGGTATTGGGTCTCGACGGATAAGAGAAGCACTAATCAATGCTCGATGAATCGATTCGATAGTGCACTAGGACTCCGATTTATGCACCATAACATATCGTCTCTCCTGATTCATTAAAGTTGCTTGGTTTAGGTTCGACGGCCGGCACTTCTTGTCGAGATTGAGAGGGAAGAGGCTGATGTTTGTGGGGGACTCGCTGAGCTTGAATCAATGGCAATCCCTCACTTGCATGGTGCACGCCGCAGTGCCTGAGGCCATATACACTTTGACAAAAATTGCTGGGCTTTCCAACATCTCATTCCCAGTCAGACCTCTTCACTTGCTCTTTGCTCTTTGCTCTTTTACTCTTCAACTCGAAAAGTCAATCTTAAAGTGATGAGATTAATGGCTCATCAACTGAGATACATGTGCAGGGATACGGAGTGGAGCTGATGTTCTTCCGAGACGCGTTCCTGGTGGACATTGTGAGCACCAGCACCGGGCGAGCTCTCAGGCTCGACTCTCTCAAGAGCGCCAAGATTTGGGAGGGCGTCGATGTGTTGGTATTCAACTCGTGGCACTGGTGGCTTCATGTCGGGTGGAAACAACCGTGAGTCTCGATCGGTCTTGGCAAGCATTGCATAGACTTGGAATTTGGATTAAGTCAATCGCATTCGTATGAAATCTCACTAAAGAGCACAAGTTCTTTTATAGTTTCTGCGCCATAATGACTTCTATCTAGAGGTGATCAATGCACGGGCTCAAGCCAGGTCGGGCAAAATCTGGTGACCACAACATTTTTATTAAGGGTATCACTCTTAGGAGCCGCAAAATCTGCGTGCGTGATTTATGCAGAAACCTTCCGTACTTGTTTGAGTCGTGCTCAACGATACGAAGTAAAGTTGTTCTTCCAAATCAACGTGACTCCTATCTATCTATCTTTTTTTTTGTTTTTGTTTATCGAAGGTTCTTATATATTTTTGTTTTTTTTTATTTTTATGTTGAGGTAATTCAGATGGGATTATATGCAAGTAGGGAATAAGACATATGAAGACATGGATCGTTTGGTGGCCTACAATATGGCGTTGAACACTTGGGCCAAATGGGTGGACTCCAGTGTCGACCCATCAAAAACTACAATCTTCTATCAAGGAGTTTCCCCGGACCATGCAAAGTAAGAATTTTGAGTTCAAGAATATATCGTTTTCTATTTTGTTAATCTAACCCGTGATTTATCAAATACTATTCAAATCAAGCAGTGCAAGCGACTGGGGTCAACCGAAGGCCAATGCCTGTCTCAACCAGACGCGTCCGCTTGCCGTGTCAAGATACCCAGCCGGCCCGGACCTGGCGGAGTTGGTGGCGGAGGAAGTGATAAGGTCGATGACGTACCCGATCCGTCTACTCAACATCTCGTATCTCTCGCAGCTCCGAGTAGATGGACATCCATCGGTGTATGGCTTGGGAGGACACATGAACATGGATTGCAGCCACTGGTGCCTTCCTGGAGTTCCTGATACTTGGAATTTGTTCCTTTACCAGTCCCTAGTAGCTCACAACTTTTGAATCTGGACATTGCTAGAATAAGTGAATATTTCAAATTCAGCTTTTTATTCCATCATAGAAAATTGGGCTATTAGGGAAAGAAAAATCCCTTTTTGTGGGCGGTTTATATTTTTTTTTATCCTTTTTTGAGTTTATATAAAAAGGAAGCTAGAGTTATAAGCATATAATTTGGCTATATTGCAAGTTGTAATTGAGAAATTAAACATGTGACCGATATTTATAACCTCAATAAAAATTTGTCGTGTCACTTCAAAATCACTTTTGTAACACAATTGTCAACGTTTCGCGCATTGTTCTTTTTGTTTAAGCTAGTTTTAATCAAATCGACCCTACATGACGTATCTTTTGCAAACTAACTTTTGCGAACATTATGTGGAATAATAGATCAAATAAAGATTTCTATTTTGGATTAATACCACAAAAAACCTTAAATTTGTACATTTATGGCAAATTTACCCCAAACTAATTTTTTGACCATCAATAACTCCACACTGGTACACTTGTGATAAATTTACCCTCCGTTAGTTTCCGTTAAATTTTATCGTCAAATTACTGAGTTTAATGACATGTACCAGTTGATGAGTCTACCAGTTTGGGATTTTACCCTTCCATTTGTCACAAATTTATCAATTTATGATTTTTCGTTGTATTAATTTAATTTTACTAAAGATAAATTTGTTATAAGTGTATCAATTTAAAATTTTTGATGATCAAAAAATTAATTTATGATAAATTTATCACGAATATACTAATTTGAAAATTTTTATAATTAAAAAATTAATTCAAGTAAATTTATCAGTCAATTTAAAGTTTTTCGTGATATTAAACTTTCGTAATAAACCATTGAAAAATATGGACAAAGGTAAAAATGGTGCGTCAGGTGGGGCGTATCGTCTTCTTCGTCTGGCCGAGCCGAGCACTAGCCCCATGCGATTTAGCCGCGGAGCTTTTACTTCGAGCTGAAGAATTCCCCTTTTTCTTCACCACAAATTCCGAGCTGAAGCTTGTTCGATCGAAGCGCTTCTGCAGTTTTCGGATCTCGCACTGGTTCGCGATCCGATAGCGTGAATCGAAAGTGAAGGATCGGGATCGGGATCGGGATCGGAGCGGAGGAATTCTCCGGCGACATTTGGAGGGATCGCCGATTCCCGGTTGATCCGAGAGGGAGGAGAGAGGAGGCGGAGAATGGCGGCGGTCGCGGTCCACCAGTTCGCCCCGTGCATCACCTGCCACGCCTGGAGTCCCGACCGCTCTAGTAAATCCCCGCTGCTATTGCCTCGATTTGATTTCGTTTGCGGGTGTTTTGATTGCTTCGGAACTGGCCGCATGGTGCTTAGGACGCTGTGGAATTAGACGGGTTCTTCGTCGCTGCTTTATTCTGTTATTGCAACTCGATATCTGCACACACACGATAAAAAAGGGCACCTTGGTGAGTTGATAGGCTGCTTGAGGAAGAGCGATCGAACTTATCTTAAGCCTTTTGCGTATGGTAGTGATGATCGATGTAACAGAGGGCAATGTGCGCATTTCGGAGAGTACGAATCTCTATATCATTCAGTGTGCATCATGGAATCGTAGTCCTTGTATTCATCGACTGTTACGGGGCGAAAAGGGGAATGCGAACTTGGGTTTTTTGAAGGCGGTTCTAACAAGTGACAATTAATAAATTGCACTGTGAGAAGTTAGGTTAAAGCTAAGCATTCTAACAGCTACAGATAGATAAAATGCAATTTGAACGGCAGTCTGACTTCTAACAGCTGATGAGGAGATCCATCTTAGATAGATAAATACTGGGCCATGAAATGTCCCGCTAATTGCTTAACCACGAAAGATGCTTTTCGCAGTCTGAATGGGTGGCCAAAGGCAATGGTGTTTGTGCCAGGTGGTGAAGTATGAGGGGAGTAAATTTTGAAGAAGAATAGGTACAGCGGAAGGATGACATTTAATTTGATTTTGCATCCTAAGATCCATCATAACTTCCTATCCTTAATCTGCTTAGAGCAGATGAAATGCGAATAGCAGCTTTTCATGATTCTAGTGAGATGTGTAATCACTTTGTAATTAGTAAAAGTTATCATTGCTTTTTATGCTAATTATTGCCCTTTTTGTGGTAATTGCTACTTTGTCGTCAACTAGGTGTTTCATGCAGGGTAGTAATAGTTAACGCTTCTAATTGCCTTACTTATACTAATAATTGCTTTTTTAAAAAACAAAACTGTTCTGGCTAAATCTAAATAAAGTTCATCAACCTAGAAAGTATATATGCCTTGATCGATGTTGTCAATGGTTGACAAGCTTCCTGACTGTAGACAAATCTCGCATTAGTTTTTCTCTGTCAGTACCTTGACTTAGTGTATTCTTGCTATCCTACGTTACTCTTTCTAGTTGATGATCTTGTCGAATTAGAATGTTTTTCAAGCAATCTTTATGGATTTTTCCACATAGATTCCTACTTGTTTTATCTGTCTTTTGCACGATTGCGCCTTTTCAATTTGAGATCAAGCCCATACCTTTCACAGTCTCTTTTTAAACCAGAAATTTGTTTCGTGTCAACAGATGTTGTTCATTCTCATCATGTCATCAAGCATGCATAACTACTTCTTGTGATTCTTCTGATTTTGGATTTTCCGTTTGTCTGGTTCTACTGTAATTTCTTAGAACTATAAAATCTCTTAATATGCTCCTTCCTCTATAGTCTTTGTTTATCAGTAGATTGTATTAATGATAACTATATGATCTGCTGTCTTGTAGTGGTTGCATTCTGTCCGAACAACAGTGAAGTTCACATTTACAAACTTTCAGAAGACAAGTGGGAGCAAGCTCATACTCTCCAAAAGGTCATTATTACAGTACTTCATCCTTAAAGAGTAATTGACTTTGAATTCAAATGACTGAAACACGAGGATGACAAATGTACTATACATTTTTTATGATGAGCACAGAAATAAAAGCCATAAACTATTTTTACCAAAAGATAAGTAAAACCGCATACATGTTGAGTTCTCTGATTTCTTGTCTTCAGCTCAGTAATTCTCCTGCCATGTTTGTCTAGTCCAAAACTAAAGAATAAGGACCAGAAGACACCCTATTTTTGCTTTTTCCCTTTTCTACTGCTTGTCTCTTCTATTGTTCCTTTCTCTCTCCAGTTTATGGTATTGATGACTTCTTTCTCCACAATGTCAACTGTCATTTCTAAACAGCGATTTGATGACCACGTATGACCCGCAAGCTGGAGTTCCAACTTAAGCTCCACATTATCTTCTTCCCCTTTGGATTTCAAGGAAATGAACTGATGAATGATGATGCACCTTTGAAATTTGATGTTGCTTGTTTTATCTTGCTAACAAAGCTCATCTCATCGACTAACAGATTTCCAACATTTTAATGAAAGATTCTAGCATGCACCTTACTGTTGTTTCATTGTCTTAAACATGTAATAAGTACATGCTGATGGTTTATTTTGTTCTTTATCTACGCTCGAGAATTTAATTTTGCATTTACATAACAAGATAAAATGACTAAAGTCTATGCTATGCGAATCGGTAGTTTAAATGATCAAGTTTGTTCTTGGTGCTAACAATGGGGGATGTATTGTCACAGCATGACCAAATTGTTTCTGGAATAGACTGGAGCGGTGGGTCAAACAGAATAGTAACAGTGTCCCATGATCGAAACTCGTGAGTACCTGTTTTATTTGTAAAATCACCTGATTGGAACCACCTTGTGTTCCTTCTCCCTTCTGCATATTTTCAAGTATCTGATGCAGTTTTTGTTCTTGTGTAGATATGTATGGAATTATGAAGGATCAGAGTGGGTACCTACCTTAGTTATCCTCAGGCTAAACCGAGCTGCACTTTGCGTTCAATGGAGTCCAAAGGGTATGCAGAATCATTGAGTTTGAAGACAGGATTCGATGTTGAATGTCGCCTGTCAAAAACTTCTTAGAATATTTACATAGTATAGAAGAAGAATAAAATTCTGTTGAAATTGCTAGAAGAATTTTGTTTGGTCAATTGTTCTTAAGTGTCATGTGAGCTGTTAGACTCCAGGGAGCCATTTTACAAATTTGAAGTACCAATATGGTTCCGCATGAATTACAATTCCTCTAATAGGTTTATTCTTCATGTTTCATAATATAGTTGAACAGTTGCATCTAGTTTTATCTTACATCTTCTGACCTTGTAGATAGCTGGTTATGGTTATTTTTTCCTCTATAAGTAAAGAGAAATTCACTTTGAGGCATCAAGGGGGTGCCAACCTATACATAAAAAGAGCTCAAAGCCAAAAGAGAGCTCATTTACCAGACTAATGAGTTAATTATGATCTCTGATTGTACTTCAAATTTGACCTCTCTCCTATCTTTCCAACTCTATAACGGTCCTTCTAATGCTCTCTCCCCCCTTCCTTTCCTCCTCCTTCACATGCTAGAGATATTTTCATTATGGACTGCTATTTTATTCTGCTTGATTTCCTCTTGTCGTATGGACTGAGTACGAGGAGCTAATAAATACTCTTGTTGTTTCTGCTTTTCCCTGCAGAAAACAAATTTGCTGTTGGAAGTGGGGCGAAGACAGTGTGCATTTGCTACTATGAGCAAGAAAATAACTGGTATTAGCTTCTATTTTGGGGTTTTCCTCTTCGTGGTTCTCTCTTCTTTTTTTTGACATTCTTGTGGTGGTTTGGACATGTATTCTCCTGATGTGTTTTTCATTAAGTCATCACTGACTGATCAAGGATTTATGGGTGATATGTTTTCCAAACTCGGGTGACAAGTTGGTTGTGTTCACTGCATTTGAACTCATTCTATTAAGGTGAAAGCTTTTAAATTTGGGTATGCGCATTGGCCAAAAATTGTCTGCTTGACGTTGATCTAGGCCGTTTCTCAGTATGTGATACTCATGGATGAGCCTTATGTAGTTGTGGAAGCACATATAAATGGCAAAACAGGGAAGTTATGGGGGAGGACCTTGAAGAGGAACAAATAGTATTCTGGCAGGGTTGATGCTGTTGTACTGACTCATTTCTTCAGTAGAGTTTGGAGAGCCAGCTCCAACGGAGACTTTGGCAGCAGCGCTGTTGCTACATATATGAATCAAATGAGATGGTTACATATCAAAGAGACAGGACATTAATCCACTTAGTTTCTAATTTCGGTAGCTCTTCAGGAGCAGTTATTAATATATGCTCTGTTATAGGTGGGTCAGTAAACTCATCAGGAAAAGACACAATTCATCGGTAACAAATGTTGCTTGGCATCCTAACAATGTGAGTATGTCCTCTTTCTCACATTTTTGTGGTGTTTGGCGCTTGCAACCAACCTTTATATCTTTTTACTGGTTGCATCTGTGAATGCCTTTGTTATATGCAGCCATGCCTTCTGCTTTACAATTTATTCGTGTTGCTGTTAGTTACTCTATTTGTTTGAGTTAGAGTTCATTTATATTTTAGGGCAGAATATGATCTTATTCTCTATATACCTGCATATGAAAGCTGTTAAGAAAGGTAATCAGTTTCAGCAGGAAATAGTTTTAAAAGGCGCAGTGCAGTACTGGAGAAATAGACATGAAGACAGTAAACTTGAAACGGTTCACTAGTTATGTTTGTTATTCCCTGAATGAGGATTTTGTATGACACGACATAAGTCTGAGAATAGGCTATGTGATATAAGACGGGAAAAAGAGTTGATGACCGTTCAATCAGTCATTGATTTAGGCATATGCATTTTCTTGACGTAATTGATATAGTCAAATGTTATTGAAAAGAGTTTGAGATAAGATTTGAGATTCAAAGCAGGAGAAGGGGATAAAGATGTACATGCTGACTCTTCCTTCCTTTTTAATATCTAGGGCTGGCATTCCTTGAAGTTGATACCTTTGTGTATTGGGTGGTCTCATCTGCTGATGAATGATTATGATGATGTTAAAAGATTTATTTGGTCTATATTACATTTTGGTCAGTCCTAAATAAGAAAAAGAGATGGCTTTAAATGTGGATCCATGCTTGCGAGGTCAAAAAATATTTCCATGATGTCAACCAGTCAAAAGTATTTACTTTTATCATCTAGAAGATGTTTTTAGTCATTGAAAGAAATATAATCTGTTCTTCTAAACATTATGTGCTGCATCAGACAATAAAAAACGCTGTTCAGGTATTGCCATTCGAGATTACTTCATATGCAGTTGGCAATTATTTCTGTATGTTCTTTCTTTAGCATTTTGACTTTTCATCATGTGAACACATGACCCATCCATCTGCTGTTGAGCAGTTTCACTACATTGGGTCACCTTACCCAAAAGCAACCGTTACTTTGTCCAAGTGTTACTGAAGGCTTCTCATTGCAGATTCTTCTTGCCACAACATCAACAGATGGAAAATGTCGTGTATTTTCAACTTTTATTAAAGGTGTTGATATAAGGTAGCTGTACCACCTAGCCAGTCCATCATTAAATATGTTTGTTGCTGATCAAGCACACGTTGAATCTTAAATTTTAGTATATGTGTCTGTTCAATGAATATGATCCAGGGATTCCAAAGCAGGGTCTTCATCTGACTCGAAATTTGGGGAGGTAAATTTTTATTATCCTTATTGATTATGCGAACTTGCTAAGTTAACAATGTTAATTGAGTTATACTCTTTTATCCTATAAATTAGGTTTGCAGCACCTTTTTTTGGGTGCATCATTGAATAGCTGGAAAATGAAATTCAGTACACTTTTTGTGATGGATTAGTTTAAAAATGGTAAAAGCTTTTATTTGGTGTGCATCTGAAATAGTGACTGCCTGCTACATTTGGACTATGAAGTGGTATCTTTGCTGAAGAAACTCATTCATTCATTTTCAAGTTCTGGCAACCACGAAGCTTTAATGTTACTGTCTCATGTTAGTCAAATGATGTGACTTAATTCTCATTGCTCTGACATTAACGTTGCATGTAAATGTTCTCATGTGTTATCCTCTATTGGTGAGAAATGTCTTTGCTTTTATGGAGTTGATACTTTTGTTTTCTACAAATGCAAGCGCATAGCTTACAAAACTACATTGGCGTCTAGCTAAGAACATATGCACAAGTATGTGGATGTTTGTTGGCCTCTGGATTAATTCTATCCCGAAATGGAGATGGTGCTTACTTCATACAGTTTGAATAGAGAGTACATGAAATAGTTGTCATTTTTTTTTTCCGTAAGTGATATCATGAGTATCATCTTTTTTTCTTCGCAAAACAATGTCGTTCCAGAACTGAGAGGCTTGTGTGTGTAGTTTATGTATACAGTTCTATTTTTGTTTGATGCCGCATATCAAAATAATTTCTTATCCTGTTGAAACAGGAAATTCTTCAACTGGACCTCTCATTCTCCTGGGCATTTGGTGTAAAGTGGTCACCCAGCGGCAATACCTTAGCTTATGTCGGTGAGTGATTTGTTTTTTTCTCAGTTTGTTTGATTCTCCTGTTATTATTTCAGGATTGAGTTTTGTAAATATGAAGTCTTCCATCATGTGCCTGTCTGAGATGTGAAAGTATATTAAGGTCCTCTCTATTGCATTTGCATAACATTTTCTATTATTAAAGTCACATGCTCTGCATTACATTAGCTCGCATATAGTGTGTTTGAGTGAGGACAGTAGCCATTCTATTCCTGGCGTATTCCCAATGAAATACTTATTCCATTGTTTGGGACGATTTCCAACCAGCTATAGTTACTTCAAATGACCCAACCATCCTATTTGGTGAATCAAACGAGTGGTTACTATTCCTTATAATACGATATTTACTATTTTTGCAGCCAGCAATTGTCTGTTTATACGTAGAGTTTGGGCAAACACGTATACTTTCTAACCGATGAGCCATTTTTAATCCCTTTGGTGGAATTTACAGGTCATAGTTCTATGATTTATTTCGTGGATGATGTTGGTCCTTCCCCATTGGCACAGAACGTTGCATTCCGCGATTTGCCCCTCCGTGATGTGGGTCAGCATCCTTCTTGTTTTATCTTGTTTCACATCTGAACTTTATTAGATTTTTAGCCAGCATCCGAAGCAGATAAATAATGTGCCGTTTTTGTAGGTGCTATTCATATCTGAGAAAACCGTCATTGGTGTGGGATTTGACTGCAACCCAATGTTATTTGCAGCAGATGAAAGTGGCATGTGGTATGTGAAGTTTCAGATTTATTTTCACTTTTGTTTATCTTCTAAAGATGGAAGACTTCTCCCTATCCCCTTCCCCAACCCTTCTCTTTCAAAATCTTTCTTCACAGCGAGTTTGCATCTGTCTAATGGAAGTCAACAGATCTGTTTCTAATGACTGAATTAAAAGTAAATTATCTTTCTTTCCAGGAGCTTTGTCAGATTCCTTGGGGAGAGGAAGACATCATCTACTGGTCCCAAGTATGGTTCGCAGGTATAGTCACTTTTAAGTTTTGCCCCTCTTTTGCTAGAGCATTTGGTCTTCATGGAAAGTGGTCATCAACTCGTTACTCAGCATCCTACTGCTACAAGTTGCTTATGACAATCAAAATGAATTGACCGAGGTGGACAATATTGACCAACTTGCCTGCAACTTGAAGATATGACAATCTTTCACCAAAAATGAGAAAGGAAAATCACCTGGATTGGTACAACTGAGACTAGTTTACGAACGACATGCATGAGGCACAAAGAGTGTTGCATGTTGGCAACAGGGTGGTCTAAAAATTATTCTAATCCATGATAGATGTACACACAAATGTAATTGTTTAGCAAATTTTATGCCTCCTAGGGGCTTCTAGAATATTCAGCACTAACATAAGCAAAAGTTGTCCTGTCTTGTTGAGATGACTTACCATCATCCTGTTTTTGACAGTTTTCTGAAGCATTTGGGAAACTGTATGGCCAGTCAAAGTATGGTATGAACAATGATGCCGTCGACAATTCAAGACAGCGTGGAGGGGTTCACGAGAACTGCATAACGTATCTATCAACATGATAACAATCTCTTCTTCCTTTTTACATTATAAAGATGATAATTATCTTACAGCTGTTTTTTTTTTTGTGCTTATTGGACTGCACATGCCCGTTGATGTATATTACCATGAACTCTTTTCCAATTTTATTTTTTTTTTCATTTAGTGTTTCCAAACATGAGTCTGGTAGATGGTGTGGAGTAGGAGAGTTGATGAGTTAGGATGCCAATATGATGGGATGAATGACTTACGCAAGATTAATTTTATGTTTCTGCAGTTGTATTCTGCCACTTGGGGAGGCCGGGAGTTCGACCATAACACGCTTCAGCACTTCAGGTTGGCAAACAAACACACTTCTATCTTATGTTTCTTAATGCTTGAAGTTGGACATCTTTTCGAATTTTTTCTTCAAGAGGCCGCCTGATTTTCCAATCCCCAAATGACAGGATTGGATGGTAAAGTGGTGATTTGGGACCTGGAGAGTCAACCAGACCTATTAGAATATCTATAGGAAACTTTCTTTCCTCTGTAGCTGTGAGCGAGAATGTCGATTCTGTGATGATGTATCGCGATGCTCTTTGTACATGGATATGATCCACAATAATAATATCAGCCTAACAGTTTGTGCTGTAGCTTTTCAATTTCCTCCTGATGGTTCTTGAAAATGAACCCCGCTCTCTCTCTTTCTCTCTCTCTCTCTTCTCCCTTTTTGGGTTGCCGGAGTTTGCTAAATAGATTGGGATCTTCTCAATTGCGTTGCTCCCTTTACCTTGTTGAGATCGTGGTACATATATCACTTGAAAGAGCATCAGTGTTGAAACTACAGATTGGCCTCCCTGTTTGGGGTCACTTCACCAACAGGAAGTCGCACGACCTCGTCCAATCACACGCAACGACTATGAAGGTTGGGGATGCGATGTCTCCTCCGGGCTGATTTTGCTGTGTGCGAGCTCACGTCTCCCATACCGCGGTCCTACCAAATCTTAGGTACTTTCTGTTAGGGCTGATCTCTACTCCAATTACCAGATCGTAAAGCGATTTTCGGTTGATGATTAATGCGCATGGTTTGAATTAAGGAATTTTAACGGGGGAGATAATTCGCAGGAAGGATATGTATGTTAGGCTGGTTATGACTACAACTATTCCTAGTAAGTTGTATCTTCAAGTAGACGCAAACTCCCATTGTAAATTGCAACCCGTGAACCTAAAATTTGAGAATACAATGTCCCTGAAAACCAAAAGAAAAACGAAATCGTTTCAAATAAAAAGAGAGAGAGAAGTTCAGTACTATGACGTATGAGGTCAGCGATGAGCATGAAGTTTGGATCTTTCAATTCTAAAGATAGCACGTGTGGGAGAGTCAGAATTTCTCAACCAATATCACACCATTATCATATCGATTATGTGTCGAACCAAACGTGTGATTGTATTATATCTCAATCGACGAAGATAGGCGTTTGAGAAAAATTTTAGTCCAAACTTTGACATTGAAACGATTGGAGGATTGGCTTTACATTCAGTAAAGATAAGCAAACGATTTTAATTAAATTTCGAGGAAAATTTCAATTAATAATTCAGAGCTGGATCCTCTCTTTTCTCAATAGAGAGCCCGAAGTCTGAAATGATTAACTTAATTTCCAACAAGATCTCGAGTTATTGCATCCCAACAACATTCTAAAAACACAAAGTAACGTCAGTAAAATGACTTTAAAAAGTGCCAAACATTTACAAGTATGAAGCACCATTCTTGCTTTTTATCCCAATCCTGTGAACAAAAACCTCCCCCAATCCTTAAACCCATCTCACCCATCACTCTCTCTCTCTCTCTCTCTCTCTCCCGGCGACAATGCTGTCGACGACGGCCCAATCCCAGCTCTGTCGCCTCCGCCCCGCCCACGCCCTCAAGCCCCGCCCCCTCACCACCACCACCGCCGCCGCCGCCTCCTCCTCCTCCCTCCTCGCCGACCAACCTCCTCCCTCCACGCCGCCGCCTCCGCCGCCGCGCTCCCAGATCCTCACCCTCCGCCGCTCCCTCCTCTCCCGCCAGGTCACCGCCGTCCAGCTCGCCGAGTCCTACCTCGCCCGCCTCCGCCTCACCGAGCCCCACCTCAACTCCTTCCTCCACGTCTCCGACGCCGTCCTGACGGAAGCTCAGTCCGTCGACGACAGGATCGGCCGGGGAGAGGACGTCGGCCCCCTGGCCGGCGTCCTCGTGGGCGTCAAGGACAACATCTGCACGGCCGACATGCCGTCCACGGGGGGCTCCCGCATCCTGGAGGATTACCGGCCGCCGTTCGACGCGACGGCGGTGAGGAAGGTGCGGGAGCTGGGGGGGATTGTGGTGGGGAAGACGAATTTGGATGAGTTCGGGATGGGGAGTACCACTGAAGGGTCTGCTTACAAGGTTTGAATTTGTTTCGTGTCTTCTTTCTTTTACAGTGAACTTTGTCGTTAGTGTGTTGTTGGGCGTTGCCATAAGCTTAACATCGTAAGTTCTTTTGGTGAAACCAAGCTAGTTTGAATCAATTTCTCTTTCACAGAAACTGAAAATGAATCCTCAGGGCATCAAGGGATGCTTCTGTGAAGAAGCAATTTCTTAGTAGTGGCTGGTAACGGCTAGTCAGCTTTTGAGGTCGTTTATGTAGCACGTTATTGAGTAGCTCGACATGTTGACGATGTATATCAATAGCCTTTATCCTGGAAGTACGTAGAAATCATCAATGTGTGAAACTTTGCTGTCGTGTCTTTAGTAGTAGAGGTTTATTCATTTTTGTCTAAGCACTTCTGCATATGGATGAATTTTATGTAGTTCAAAGAAAATTCAAACTTGAAGCGCTAAAAGTTGCAAATTTGCTTCATTACTTGAACAAATATTGTGTGCATGTTGGATAGGAAAATACAAGAGTTGAATAGAGGAACTAATAAGGAATCGCTTCTTTTCTGGTTATGTCCTTGAATCCCGAGCATTCATTTTTGTCTTTCGATAAGAAAGTCGATTCTCCTTGCTTGATTCTTATTAATGGGAATTTTCCATCGCGGAATTTGTGGCACTTGAGAGTTTGGTTAATCTTCACCCTCGGCTATTGGGATAAGCCCACTCAAAAGAATATAACATCTGCTGCCAAATAAAGGAATGACGCTGGGAAACTTTAGTTTTTTCTCATGAGAAGAAAGTCTCCCTCATAGGTAGATGAAATCCAGACCCATGAAATACTTACTAACCTCATGGTCTAGAAAAAATGAGCCAAAACTTGGGTTGATGGTTGTACTGAGTGGTGTGGAGATCAAACCTTAGTCGTGCACCAAATTTACGCAACATTTCCATTGCTTAACCCAGATCAACCTAATTGAGGTTAGGCACTTGGGAACTTTGGGATGCTTGTAATCCCATTTGACGCTAATTAGGCTGTAGGCACTTTTGGAGTAGTCAAAACTGATTATTTATATATATATATTTTGGATGTAGATCATATATTTTTGTCATCCATTATTTGTGCTTTTCACTTTGGATACTGTTCTCGTACATGTTGGTATCTTGATATCCTATATCAGTGCTATCCTATATTCTTTGGCATCTTTAGTGGAAACATTATAAAAGATCATGTTTTGAGCTTATTTTTTTTTATGGTTTTGCATCTTCACAATTTTGTGGAATCTAGGATTTGAAGCATTTTGGATTGGGTAGTGCCAGATCATAACCTTTTGTGTTTGCTACTTCCATCTGGTAACTGTAGTTGGTTTACTCAGGTGATACATCTGTTAATCGTTAGGTGACTGCAAATCCTTGGGATGTATCTCGAGTTCCAGGAGGATCCTCAGGAGGCTCGGCTGCTGCTGTTTCTGCTAGGCAGTGTATGGTGGCCCTTGGAAGTGATACTGGAGGGAGTGTTAGACAGCCAGCTTCATTTTGTGGGGTTGTTGGCTTTAAACCAAGCTATGGACGAGTCTCAAGATATGGTCTCATGGCATATGCATCATCACTAGATGTCATTGGGTGCTTTGGTTCATCAGTTGCTGATACTGCAATTCTTCTTAATGCAATTTCCGGTCACGATAGACGTGATGCCACCAGCAGCAAGCGAGTAAGCTTCTTTAAATAATTTTTTGACGTTCCAAACCAAGTCATTGACTTATAATTTACAGTGTTTGCAAGATGCCTTGTTTAGGCAATTGATACATTCAAAATTGATCTCAATAGTCTTATCCAAAAACTCCTAAAATTTATGTCTCCATTCAACATTACTATTATCAGCTTATTCAAGTCACTTGTTGAAGATTTCACAAATTCCTATTCAGGAGGTTCCGGATTTTATTTCTTACTTCACTGCTTCAAATACTTTGGAAGACAAACCTCTGGAAGGAATGCGGGTTGGTCTTATATGTGAGACACTTGGGAGTGGTGTAGATTCAGGAGTAGTATCTGTGATTAATGCTGCTGCTTCACACATGGAAGAGTTAGGATGCATTGTTAAAGAGGTACTCTTGTTACTCTGTTTATTTGTTATCGCTAAATGGATCCTTCTATTTTAAGTCTCTTTCAATGTCATACATTGTCATGAATTCTATTTTTGACTTATCTTTGCAGGTGTCATTGCCATCATTTTCCCTTGGGTTACCAGCCTATTATATCCTGGCATCATCTGAATCATCATCAAACCTGTCACGTTATGATGGTGTAAGGTATAAAAACATCTGGAATGTTCCTTGCTGATTCCCAGAGTGACAATTTTACGGTTGGGGTCACTCATTATTTGGTTATTTTACTCAGTTAACATTGCAATTTGTTGTTCATTGAAAATGTTCTCTCTCTCTCTCTCTCTCTCTCTCTCTCTCTCTACCAAAAGCGACACAGAGATAGATTTCTGTGTCAACTGTCAGCTTTATTTAGTTCTTACATACTATTCTGCAATGGTAGTCAGGTACGGGAGCCAAGCAGTTGCTGATGAGTTGAGTTCTTTATATGGTGTTTCTCGAGCTGAGGGTTTTGGCTCTGAGGTACATCTGATGTGAAGTTGCATTATGAATTCTTCAGTGTTTTTCTTTTTAATTTCAGTCAGTTATAGCTTTACTTGTGACAGTGGTTCACTAGCAAATTGCTATTGTTCTTGCCCCTTTTGTCTCTCTGAAATCCGCCTTCATGTTAACAGGTCAAGAGGAGAATACTAATGGGAACATATGCTTTATCTGCTGGTTATTATGATGCTTACTACAAGCGTGCTCAGCAGGTACTAGGATTTTGTAATAGATTGGTCTCTGCCCATTTTCTTTTTCTCTTTATTCAACTTGAAGAGTGAATTCAGTGGGCTGAAGATAGCATTATGCTTTCTTGCCTCCATGTTATTGTTAAATTTCACTTGCTTGTATGCATATCAGCAAAAAAACAAGAAAGGGGAACTAGAGGAAGATAGCATTCAACCTATAAATGGAGATAGCCTGTGTATTTGCGTTTAAAGTAATTAAGGGATTCTAGATTTGCTTAAGGTTTATCCATTAGCGGTCCTTATTTTGTATTTCAGGTTAGGACTATCATTCAGAAAAGCTTCAAGGCTGCATTGGATGAAAATGACATTCTTATCTGTCCTGCAGCCCCTTCAGCTGCTTATAAAATTGGTATGCAGCTATTTCCTTTTGCACCTGTTCCACCTTGATTGGCCTGATTACTCATCTTAATATAAACTGCACGTTGGTTTCCAATTTTAGGCGAAAAGAAGAATGATCCTTTGGCTATGTATGCTGGAGACATAATGACAGTAAGAATTCATGCCGTGCCCTTCTCTTTTCCTTGCCTTCAGTTTTATTCCTGTCCAAGCTTTGTATCGAATGAGCTGAACAGACTTCATTCATTTGATACACCATGTCTGTGGTCCATGACAAGAGAAATGCTTGCTTTCCTTGATCCAACACACTAAAATTTAGACATATTATAAATCATGTGGGACTTCGCTAGAGTCTACTAATTGTATAGAATTGAGAACTACACAGTTTAGGCTCTATTGGCCTAGGACTGGAATTGTAGAGTTTTGGGCTACTGGACTAAATCACTTATGATTCACTATTATCTTGTATCGATGGAATAGTTTATGACTGGAACAGGTGAATGTTAACTTGGCTGGTCTACCCGCATTAGTATTACCGTCTGGATATGTTGATGGTGGACCCTCCGGCCTTCCTGTTGGTCTTCAGATGATCGGTGCAGCATTTGATGAGGTTTTTTTGCACACTTATTCATTCAAGTTTTTTACCTGATACTGAAGTTACTCGTCTGTATTGTCAAGTCCACAGCTCTTCCTGTCCTTTCCTTCTAGAAACCAGTCGTGCATCATTTTTTTACCTGCATTTTTCTGAAGACAAAGAATGTGTTGAGTTCTTTGCAGGAAAAATTGCTCAAGGTCGGTCACATCTTTGAACAGACCCTTCGGGGTCGTAGATTTGTCCCTCCAATCATTGAGGATGACAATGCGTGCTAGTTTCTCTAATTTATAAGGGCGACAACGCGAAGCAAGTGGACTGATTATCGAGGTTGTGCGTATGGGAAGATGAAGTTTGAAGGCATTGAGACAACTTTGCTGGAAGTCTGTTAGGGTGAATTCAATCTATGTGCCGCTTGCCTCTCTGCCTCTGTACTGCCAAGTGGGACGGCAGAGTTGGAGTTTGCACGTGAGACCCAGTTTTCGCGCACTCACATTTGAAGAACTCATGGTTGAGATGGGTCAGTGATGAATGCAAATACAATCTTTGATGTAGACATTAGCCATCCCTGCCATTATCTTAGCAAACTGCATAGATTAGCACCGATTAGGAACTGGTATATTGTTGTTATCCTTTTGGTTAATAAAGACTCGCATGTTTATCTTTTCCCTTGTGCGATAAGTTTCTTATATTCTTTTTGGTTATGAAATAATGTCAAATGCAGACAAACTGTCTTCCTCTTTCTTTTCTTTTTACTCCTTTTCGTCCTTTGGATTCGTAAGTGTGCACAAAAGCATGCACTAACCTCTTTCCTTTGTGGCATGTCACCTTGGAAAGTTGCGGAGCACATATTCAGGAAACTTCCTCTAGTCTTCTTCACTTATCGGTGAGCGAAGCACAAGGGCCAAACTGTCGGGAAAGCCACAAATATTGTCGTATACTGCTTGTACGAAAGCAAGCATCAACTAATCTCAGCTCCACATATGAAATTGCCCCATGGAGCGCAATACACGAGAAATAGAGTTTCCTGATCTTCTTTTATCAGTTCAAAGACCAAGAACTGATGAGCTGGTTTTCAGGGAAAGCTTTTTGAGGTGCTCTCGAACCCTATCAACTATCCATCCGAATACTCGTTGCTAGTTAATTTTAAAGGGAAATAAAGCTGGTTAATAACACTTCAAATCAGCCCGTCGTTGGGATGGATGGACAGGAACGTGATTGTAAAGGACTTAAAAAGATTTCCGATTTCAAAACCATCTAATTCTATATACTGTTGTCCCAATCTCGCGGGGACCTGGATTTTCTCACGAAAACTACAGGTAAACTTCTTTACTATTTCATAAAAAGTTTCTTAGAATACCAAAGCACATGACGAAATTCCGTCCCTAAACAGCATCATCTCCCTTTCCCACCAACTACGGGTACTAGACAGAACAAAGCGTTAAACTCAACCCCGAATGAGCTTCACTATTCAGCTCAAAGCACAAGGCATATATATTTCCAAAGTAACCACATTCAGGGTATGACAGTGACAGTTGCAATCATCTCTACAGAGCTCATTAGGAGCGGGATCGACGATATTCTGCTGGGCGCTGGTTTGAATGACACGAGGAACCGTATAGAACAAAGTCACAGACGTCCATATGTCGCCGGGAGGAACGGCTATATGCGAGCAAATCCATGAGGACTCTGTTCATTCAAAGATCAAACTAATCCCCACTCAAGGAAGAGAAACCAAAGCCGAGTAGAATCACCTGTCGCGCTGCAACAAAAGAAGGGAGACACAGTGACATGTAGATATTTAAGATGGAAACAAAGCAATTTCCCAAAATCTACGTACTGCTTCATACTTACATCAAAGAGAGCAAACTGGCAATTCCAACAATGGCTCCGCAACTGCCGGTACCAGCAATAGTTTCAGTGTGCATATGACTGGCTCGACAAACATTGGTCGACTTAATAACTGATTCTCAGCAGAGAAGCTCTGTATTCTATGCTTAAAGAGTCTGATAACAACCATACAACAAGACACATGAACCACATTCCACCACCACTATTATTCCCTATAAAACTATATGACATCGAACGGCCATCTAAGTCATACCCGGCAATTCTAATTCTGAAAGAGCAGCAACACATCGATAATACCATATTGACATATGACTCCGACCAGATTTGGGACATCAGATTAGAAAATAATATCTTCATCTCTCTCTGCTCCTGCCGATAACAAGTTGTGGGCCGAGTTAAGGGGTATGCCCTCTTTTAAAGAAACCTCCTCAGCGAGCTTCTCTACTGCATATTGGTGCGCTGACGCCCTCTGTCTCTCGAGCTCCCTCTTCTTGTATCCTTGTATCTTCTTCAACCTGAAGAAATCCTCTCTTTCAAGCTCATCCAGTTCTGCCTTGATATAGCTGATAGTGTTCTCCAATCTTGGCTTCACAACATTCTCCAGAGCATTAACTCTCCGATTTGTTGTTTTTATTGCTTCATCGAGTGTTAAAAACGACGTTTGAAGTGAAGCAAGCTCAACAAGAACCTCAATTGCTTTGATATTAGCAGCTCGACATAGCTGGACTTGCTGACCACCTCTGGCCAGTCCAGTCAGGTTATTCTTGGTCTCAGATTCAGTGAAGTATTCAAACTTAGGAAGCTTCACACCAGCTATATTCTCTTGCTTTGATCTGACTTTGAGAGACGCATTTTGGACATTCTCAAGAACAATGTGCTTAATATTCTCCCCAGCAACATATTTAGCTTCAGTCAAGGCAAATGAAGATGACTTCATGATCTCTCCCATTGATTCTTTTGTAGAGACAATTTTCTTAAGGATTAGACGAAACTGCACCGTCAAAGCATCGCTCTTCTTCTTGAGCAGAGCATGGCCTCTTGTAGCGCCAACAAGGCGAGCTTTCATAACTCCGAGCATTGTGACAGTGGGAACTACATTCAGGCGCTGGGTTTGACCCGACATTATTGGAAAAATCTGGAGAAACACAGACAGAAACAGAATCAATATAATTGGAAGAAACTCCAAGAGACTTTATTGCCTGAACAAAAGAAGTTGCAGAATACCATGGCGATTGATATCCCTATGGTGGGGAGAACAAAAAATCAACAAAAGGTCTCACTGATCAGAAAGTTTCACATTAGCTGTTTACCGACGCTTAATCATTTATAAAGGTTCATTTTTTATAAATATAAGGCAAGATTCTTCCACAGATATAGACCAAACCCTTATACTAGAGCTCTAAAAAGTGATTTGAGCATCGAGCATTTCGCCCATCTATTGAGATAAGAGGACATCTCAGTGGCTGAAAATGGGAAAGAATTAGCTTAAGGTGGAACTTATACCTCATCTAATATAGAACAGTTTAATGGGACAGATCAACAAAAACTTTAGTCCAAAACCTTAGTTTCTGCGTCATGTCCCCATTTTCTTGCTTAGTAGTAGTTGTCCTGCAGTCTGGCTATCTAAAACAAAACAAAAAAAAAGCGACTTTGCGTTGCATCCAACGAAACCCAGTTGCCCAACTAAGGAGTGCCACACACAGACCACTCGTTCCAGTCAAATTAACGAGCGGAATCATGGTATGATTGCTTCCCCTGGATGATGGGGACCAATCAAGCTAAACAACCCAGAAAGAAAATTGAAGCAAACACTGACAAAATGAGAAGGAAGGAAAAACACACAGACGTCCCGTGATCCAGACAACTAGTTTCCAGCCAGAGAACTGCAAATTAGACCTATCTCACCCATCGCAAAGGAAAAACGCTACTGCCCCCATCCTACGCACGCCCTCACGCGATCATCCGGACAAAAGACGAATAAACAAACAAGACGCTCACGTTGCTCGCGGCAACAAAACCAAAACTTGCGTTCGACCCAAAATCAATCCGACACAGTCCGACGCAGTATCAACGAGACACTGAGAAACCTGCAGAACAAGACAATCTTCGATGCGGCCAGCCCACATACACACGCAACGAGAAAGAGAGAGAGAGAGAGAGAGAGAGAGAGAGAGAGAGGGAGGGAAGGACCTGTTGCTGTCAACGGCGACGGTGCCGGAAATCGACGCCGGAGGATCGGAGAGAGATCGGCCGGACGGTTCAAGAATTTTCTCAGCTTGGAGGGAGATGCAGTGCAGATGCGTACTCCTTTTGATGTCTATAGCTCTTTTGGGGTCACGAGTTTTGGGTAAGAGTTCCTTTTTTTTTTTTGGGCTAATTTAAAAAAAAAAGTGCAAACTTTAAATCGAGCGACACTCAACATTTTTTATCTCATAAAAACCTTCTTTTTGTGACACATTTACTGATGTATTTAGTCCATGGGCATTTCGTCTTTTCGCTTTTCTTTTTTTTTTTTTTTCTTTTTTTCCCTTCCGTGCGGGCCTCGCCGGTCCGCGAGGGGGCCCTCGCCGGCGTCGAGCGAGGGCGGCCCTCGCTCGGCCGCGGCCGAGGACCTCGCCGAGTCCAGCGAGGCGGACCTCGCTCGCCCGAGCGAGGCGGACCTCGCCGGCCGGCGAGGGTCGCCCTCGCTGGGGCGAGCGAGGGCGGCCCTCGCCCAGGCTCGAGCGAGGTCGACCCTCGCCGACGCGGCGGAGGTCGACCTCGCCCGGCGGTCGAGCGAGGCGGCCCTCGCTCGCCAGCGAGGGCCTGCCGGGCGCCGGCGAGGTTCGCCTCGCTCCGGGCGAGCGGCGTCCTCGCCCGAGCCTCGGGCGAGGACGCCCTCGCCGCCCGGGCGAGGGCGACCTCGCCGGAGTCGGCGAGGTCCGCCCTCGCCCGGGCGAGGCGGCGCCTCGCCCGACTCGGCGAGGTCGACCCTCGCCCGACGCCGGCGAGGGTCGACCTCGCCGAGTCGGGCGAGGCCGCCTCTCGCCCAGCGAGGGCGAACCTCGCCCGACGCGCGCGAGGCCGCCCTCGCCGGATCCGGCGAGGGCCGCCTCGCTCGGGACGCCGGCGAGGGCCCTCGCCGGATCCGCGAGAGCCACGCGCGAGGCCCTCACGGAAAGGAAAAAAAAAAAAAAAAAAAAAAAAAGCGAAAAAGACGAAAATGCCCATGGACTAAATACATTGGGGTAAATGTGTCACAAAAAGCAAAGTTCGGGATTTTTGGTGTCACAAAAAAAAGTTCGGGGTAAATGTGTCACAGATGGCAAAGTTTGGGGTTTTTGGTGGTTTTTTCCCTAAAAAAAAAAAGTAAAAAACTTTAAGTCGAGCGACACTCAACTTTTTTTATCTCATAAAAAATTATTGATTTTCACCTTTATTCTAAATCCGACTCTCCGTTGACTCTTTATCTGAAGTCACCATTATTTGAGATCGGAGATCGGAGAGAATCAATCTAGAGGTGAATTTATTGTTGTATAGTATAGTCAAGTTGGATAATCAACGGTTCTAAATCAAAGATTCAGATTTGAGATTTAAATAAAAGTTAGTGATTTTTTACGAAACATAAAAAATTTAGGCCAAAATTGTCACTCGACCTTCTTTTTCATGTACAGATTTTGTTTAAACACATAAAAATCTTGATTTTACATTTGTATCGTACTCTTTTAAAATTTTCGCACTCAAACTAAGTCGCGAGCATAAAAACTATACATTAAGATTTTTAATTTCGAGTGAATCGATGTGCCGAATCGATTTTTTATTATTTAATAAATTATGAAGCATGAACGAAAGTCGATAATTTTTCTTATTCTAAATTTCATCGACCTGAAATATAACATTCTAAATATAACATTCTATCGTTAAAAAAGATAGAAAAACGTAATTCATTTCCCATACTGCCTCCAGGACATGAAAATGATGGAAATGTAACCTTTTGTGCAGTTGATAAACTAGAAGTTTATTGGCAAAGGTAACTTGTGCTCCTATATCGAACAACTCGTATTATTGAAATCAAGAAAATCTTTCTAGGCGAGAATATACATGTCCCCATCTGTTAAATTCAGTCATCCAAGGATCGATGACATTGCATTTTCGGTCGGGTCAGGTCAGGTTTCAGCTCACTAAACACGAACAATCCCGTAATCGAGTCACTCGGTCGGGTTCGAGCCCCGCCCCGACTCAACGAAGTTGATGAGATTGTTCGGTGTTCCACATCCAAATACACAGAAAAAATGTCGTAAGATATTTACAGGTTTATTACCCTAACATATCATCGTCCCTGAGAAGTGTTTGGTCCAATCGCAGCCTCAAGTTGGATCATGTCGTCTGACTCCGATCCGATCTCGCGACGAAAAGGTTTTGAGGGAACCTGCAATGTCGCTCGAGCCCATTGCAATCTGAGAAATCTACCAGGACGATGCAAATGAAAAATTGAATAACCATAACAAGCACCAATTGCTATTTACTCAACCCCGATGTCCGCGGTATACCGCATGGATTCAAGCTACTTGCGAACCGAAGGATCCCGACATGTATGGTACCGAGTCGAGTCGACATTCTGGGTTAATTTCGAGTTCGAGGTAATTAAGAACAGATTTCCAGTGTGTATGTATCCTGATGCGTGTGATTGCTTATAAAAAAATCGGACCTAAGTGCATGTATAGTCGAACTAGATAGGTTTAACTTGCATGCTTGGTAAAGCTAATCACAAAATCTGGACTTCTTACCTTTGACGGAGTCCGCTGATCAACGCCGCCTAGGCTCGGGCAAAACAATCGCTCCTTTGAGTTAGGCCGCCGGCGTCGGTTCGGGCAGGATGATTGCTCCCTGAAGTTGCATCAGCCCATTTTCGCATTCTCTCACTCTTTTCGCGACATCGAAATTGCGGGGACAAATTTTCGAAGCCTGATCATGGAAGCAGAGAGGAACGTAAAGAGCGAAATCACATCATTCGACAGGCGATTCCAAATGAATAAGGGGAGGGAACGATTGATCGGCGAAGCTGACCACATTCGGATTTCAAATACACGAAAGCAGATCGAGAGAGTGTCGACTATTATTGTCTAGGGAAAAAGAAACCTGCTGAAAATCCCTGAGCGCTTCTCTGTACTTCCTGATGGCGAGATAGGCCACCCCGCGCATGTAGTAACCCTGTAACAATGCTCGATTCAGAAGGTTTCGAGTGCGCGGCGGGACGACAGGATCGAGAAGGTGAGGCTTTTTACCTTGCAATACGTGCCGTCGAGTTCGATAGCTTTCGAAGCGTCCCGAACGGCGCTCGCATACTCCTCCAGTTTAATACGGGCATACGCACGGTTGGGCCAGTACACGGGGTTGTGCCCATCTAGTTCGATCGCTCGAGTATAGAGCTCGATGGCCAGAACATACTTGTGGCCTATGACAACATAAACGAATTAGGGCAGCACGGCAGCAATACTCTGCAAGAGCTTGTTCGACGGAACGCCGAAACTTGTCTGAGAAGACAAGACACAGCACATGGCATGTCCAACAATCACACTCCAAATGTGAAGCTCACAGTACTCAATGAAGGAAGCTAGAATCGACCCTCCAACACGGTGACGCGGGCGTAAAAGAGGTACTCACAGCGAAAGGATTTGTTAGCGAGGCCCTTCAGCTCCTCGGCTCTCGCCGCATCGGACCGCTTAAGACTCCATGAGACCTAGTAGAGGCTAGCAAAGTGCCCGACGCGCAAGTTCCTCGGTTTCTCGCCACGCCACAACCCTGCGCGAGACCCGAAATCAGCAAATTAAGAGCAAAGACCAACAGGTGATGCCACCGCTGTCAAATACCTGAAAAATCTTTGCGAAACCGAAAGGGGTTTCTTGCATGCCAAGTAACAGAAATTTCGCGACGAGTTTGGTGAATCACAGAACTCGGTCGATCATTGGGTGTTACAGCGTGCCAAACTTTCGAACAGCAGCAGCAGCAGCAGCGCCGCTCTGTCACGCCTGCGGGAACGAAATCGGCGTTAAGCTTGCTGATGGGTGGTGGAAGAGATGGAATTTACCAGGGTCGAGTCCACGTGCACAGTCTCTCTCTCTCTCTCTCTTAGAGCGAGTGCTCTTTGAAACGATGTTGCGAGTTCTCTGATCTGAGCGATGGGACGAGATGAATCAGCGGTGGCGGCGCCGAAGTGCGACGCGGGCGACGTTTGGAGACGGACAGGTGTTCCTCCAGAAGAGAGCCGAGACCGTGCAGGCATGCACATGCATGCCCAGTGGGGTTAGCTAGGGATGTGGGTTACGTTGGAAACGAACGGGTGTGTTCCTGCTGACGTGGATTTGATGCATTTAGCGGTGTGTAATATCGGAGTAAAGGTTATGCCATTTGTTTTCGGGGAAAAAAGTACCAAAAAGATCGTAAATTTATTACATTTGTGCCAATTTAGCCTTAAACCTTTCGATTGTGTTAACGTAATCCTAAACATTTTTCACAATTCTCCAGTTGAGTCCTTCGTGTTAATTTCAATCGAAAATCTCTGACGTGAATGCCAAACGTCCCGCATGACATGAACGACTCGAGCGTAGACAAATTTTTTTTTTCTTTTTCTTTCTCCTTTTCATTTTGGCCGGCAAGCCTTGGGTCGTATTCCAAAAATGCTCAAACACCAAAGTTTGGTGGAACTTAACATTCGATCAGGGGATCTTCAAGTATTTTGGAAATGCTAATATTTCCCAAATGGGCTCCGAAAAGCAGCTAAAAGCCCATTTCCAAAACCGAAGCGCCCATCATACTTTCGCACCGACAAGTACAGGAACAAAAATTTCTACTGCCCAGCGCATTTCAATTGATGCGACGACGTTTTCGAGCATTTGCATTTGGGATTCCTTTTTCCTCCTTTTTTTTTTTTTCTTTTCCTTTTAATTCGTTTACCTTCTTTTCTTTTCTTTTTTTTATCTTTGACCTTTTTGGGACACTGGGTTGCCAAATGCTGTAGCGTGGAGCTGTCTGATTCGGAAAACGACGCAGCAAAAACTATTTTGTCGATCTTTGCCGGCCGAGCAGCAAAAACTATTTTGTCTCGTTAAAAAGACAAGAGACCAAATCTTATCCCTTCACCTCCTCCAACGCACAGCGTTTTGTCGCCCCCACCCAATTCCCTGTTTTCCCCTTTTATTTTAACCCGTTAATGCGGCGTAATATTCCAACATAAAAATTATCGAATTCATTTGAATTCCTCTCTTCATATTTAATCCAGTAGCTTTATCGATAATGGTTTATGTCTAAAATATTTTCGCGGACGATAAAAAAATTTCGCTCGTTTAATTTTTTTTACACGTAATGGAAAAGTAATAAAAGTGATTATTTTTAATGAAATATTTATTTACGAAATGATTTTCTTTTTTATTTAAGTGGGAGATGAAGTCACTGACACCACCACCGAAGGAGGGAGAGGTAAAGGAAGAAATCGTTGCGCCGTGACCGAAGGCGGCACTCGTCCCCAAAAGTCAACCGACTCGCCTAATTGAATCCCCCCGCATTATTAGCCAGTCAAAATCGCGATAAGTGGCACGGAATTAATGACTAATTTAATTTAATCCGACCTTTATTTTTTAAAATTAATTTCCTACAAAAAATAATTCATGTTCTTTTTTTTTTTAATTTGGGTTCGAAAAAGCGATTTATGTTCATGCCGTCACGATTCTCGGCGCGTCCACCGAACCCCGTGCGAATTAATGAGCGAGTGCACGCAAGACACGCGAACGGGGGGCGGCCGTTGCAATTAATTAAATTTTATTTAATGTTGTTAATTAAGCGCTGATGATGATTAATATTAATAATTGGAGATGTCGCGACAATGCCGAAAAGTGGAGGCCGTTTTCCATCTGGCTCGTCGAAAAGAACGGGGTCTGAAAAGAATTTATCGCCCGGGATCTGTTGAACATTAATTAATTCAAAATCAAGGGCATCCAAATTTTCAACGTGAAAATGATTGGCCTACTAACTTTTACTTTTCTCGTTGAACTTAATTTGTCGTTCGATAGACATGCAGCCATACTGTTAAAGAGATTGAAAATACTTGTATTATAGGTGTGAAACTTGACTCCCGCACTCTGCAAGATGCAAATCAAAAATTAAAAAAAGAGAAGAGTTAAAAATGGGATAGACAAAAAAAAGAAAAGGCTTCGCTTATCGTTTTCAAGTCACTGTCTTTCTCGGATAGTGTACAATCGGTGCATTGGAAAAGTCAAAAAATACTTTTTATAAGGTACGGTGAACTAGTGCCTAAGATCGTTTTCATTCTGTCGGGAGCCTGTTTGTATGTTTATTTCGTTTCTTTTTTAATACCCGAAATATTTTTCTTTTGGTTGTAATTTATGTTTTTGTATCGGTTTCGGGTGGGCCGAGGTCGGAATTTCATCTTGCAAGGGAGATCGATGATCAGGTGCATTGATTGGCTAAAGGTTAAGATCTATTCACTCCAATCAATGCACCTAAATAAAAACCTTTACTTTCGCCTCGATTCTTTTTCCAAAATCTCTCTCATTCGTTTCTTCCACAACAAAAAAAAACAAATTGCTTTCCGATGAGTACGACTTATTAATATCCAAAAATCGAGCGGTTATTTCAGAAAGATGAAACCAAGCCACATCGAATCAATTAGACTTCGCATTCGAATCTAGAATTCCAAGGGGAAAGCCCAAAATCAAAGGATTTTTGGTTGATCCACTTTAGGAATTGTACGATTTTGTTTATTTCGTCCCATTTGTATTTTTTAATGTAACGAATGATTTCGACCCAAAAAAATCAGGTAACGAATGATGCTAGATATTAATGTTTAATTAATTAGCAAATTGCAAAGACATTGCCAAGGAAAACAAAAAAATAAATAAAAGGAAAATTAATTTCCTCTCCAGGTAGAGACTAGAGAGCTAGAGAGAGAGAGAGAGAGAGCTAGAGAGAGAGAGAGAGAACATCAAACTTCGAAGTAGTCCTGGCAGCACCGAGGAGTCGTCTCTTCTCGATTCTCGTTCTTCTTCCATCCTCCATTGTTCCCTTCTTCTTCTTCTTCGGCTTTCTCTCTCTACTGCGCCGCTATCTCGTAGAGAGAGAGAGAGAGAGAGAGAGGGGTAGAGAGAGAGAGTGAGCCGCTCGCCGAGCTTTCCCACCGCCTCATCCATGGACGACGCCGCCGCCGCCAAGCCCCAATCGAGGTTCGCGCTCGGACGGCAGTCGTCCCTCGCCCCCGGCCCCGAGGGGGCCCCGCCGCCCGGCGCCTCCCCCGAGGACGGCCCGGAGGCGGTCGACCCCCGGGTCCGGCTGATGTACGCCGCGAACGAGGGCGATCCGGACGCGATCCGGGGCCTCCTGGACTCCGGGACCGACGTCAACTTCCGGGACATCGACGGGCGGACGGCCCTCCACATCGCGGCCTGCCAGGGGAGGACCGACGTCGTGCAGCTGCTGATCGACCGTGGCGCCGTCGTCGATCCCAAGGATCGCTGGGGGAGCACGGTAAGATCGTCGCGCCTCTCTCTCTCTCGTCGGAGAACTTTTCTCCGTGTTTCGTTTTCAATTGATTTTTTTTTTATCTTCTTGTTGCTTCGCTCGCGGTTTTTTGACTGTGTGATTTCGAGCTTCCGTGTGCATGACATTGTAGCCTGTACTTGATTGCAGTCCGTCATAGGGTTGGAGTTCAGTTCAGTTCGGTTCAGTTTTGCTTCAGTGCCAAAACACAGTCTTCTCTCTGCCTGACATGAAATTACGCACCTTTGCAGAGCATATACATTTAAGCGTAAAATTCTTGGGCAAGCTTGTGATTGATTCTCGTTTTGTTTCGACAGCCTCTTGCGGACGCGATATATTATAGGAACCAAGAAGTGATAAAGCTCCTGGAGAAGAATGGCGCGCGTCCCCCGGTACGTGCGACCATATGATTTCGCATTTGGCGTTTGTCGTCGGGGGGGTCATCTGAGAAAGCTTTAGTTATCATGCTATGGTTTCTGAAATAACTGAGTTTAGAGATGTTTTACTTAGGGTATGCACGCATAAAGCCCGACGGCGAAGCCGTTTGTCTTGCGACGCTAGCGCGTTCATCATCTTGATTTTTATTGTTTAATTGAT